AAATCATAGCTGTATCAGGCAGTGCTGGGGGTTTCTGCTCTTGCAGGGACTGTTTGAGTGCTCCAGGGATGAAAGGTGAATCCAAGGACTGGTTGCGTAAAAATATTACATTCACTTAGCAATAAAGTAGCTTGTAAAATGTGCTGTTCTGGTTTTGAAACATAGCAGCTCAAGCAAATGGCTCATCAAAAGGTTACCAGTGCCAGTGGGAGCTTTTTATTTCCTCTGGGCACTGAAGCAGTTCAGAATACAGTCTTGACACAACCAGTTTTGATTGAGTAACCCTGTGTCCATATATTTTTGAAAAGAAAGGATGTGTGAAGTGTTGACTGCTCTTGCTCTTCGTACAAGTGAGATTTTATTTAATTGCACTTTTCTTTTGTGGACAGCACTTGTACTGTACTGTAGTCAGTGTAGGCAAGTCCAAATTAAAAGAGAAGAGTGTTAGAATTCTGAAAATTGCTTCTGGTGTAATGCTGTTGCGCCTGTCACTTGTGTTACAGCTGGTAGTGGTGTACTTGAAGTTCTTGTTCCTGGACTCATGGAAATCTCACATTCATTAAAGAAAAAAAGGGGAAATTTCCAGTTCTTGTGATTGTAGAAGAAGAAAAATATTCACAATGTGTTGTAATTTTTAGGGAAATGGCATGGTCTGTACAGGGGCATATTGCCCTCCAGCAGCCAGGGCAGTGAGCCTACCACAGCCTGGCAGTGGAGCCAAGCTGAGCTGACAGAGCCCCAACTGGGGAAAGTGTTTGGAGACCCTGGCTAGAAAAGGTGGGTCCTACTGTTTCCGACTGAGCAACCTCCATAAATGAAATGTAACACTTTGGCAGTGGTTCTGACTTGACATTTATTTTTCTGAAAGTCTGACCAGGGCGTCTACGCCAATGCAGGAGGGCTCATCGTTTGCACAGACTTACCCTGCTGATGACAGCGTAATAAGCTTCTTTATTTTGTGTTTTTATTCAGTAAGCATGTTGGCTTTTGTGTAGAGGATGACCTCTGCTTTTGCCCTCCCCCACTGCCTCAGCTCCTCTGAAAGGGGCACCTCTGTCCCCTCAATTTGTAGTAAAAGGGAATTGTAAAGGGAGGCGAACTGACTGGTTGTAGGGACATAGACTCCTACAATTCAATATAACTTTCACAGAGGCTGACCTGTTGTGCCCAGCATGCTAAAAACTGTTGGTAGTCAGTGGGAGTTTTGGGTGCAGAAAGACTAATGCAGGACTGAGCCATTATGACTGAAAAAATCCAAACGGTGAGGGACTAATTCAGTAAACAGGACTACTTGAAATGAATTACAGCACATGATGTGAGAACAGGTCAACATTTCATATCTGGCGTACCTTTTTCTAAACAGATAGAAAGGCATCCCCGTATCATGACTGTTTGCTATTAGATTCTACACAAAAATATATTGGGATGGCATTTAAATGCAGTGACTCGAGATAGCAAAAAGTTGTGGGGTCGTATTTCTTTCCATTCATTTAATTGGAACCATGCTGATAAAGCGTATGAAAACCATCACTCTTGAATATGTCTGAAGTGTAGCTTTGTGACGCTGAGAATGATGTCCAACCTAATAGAATTTCAGATAGAAAAGATATTTTGGCTCATCTTTTGCTTCCAGCTATATTCAGTTTCCCCGTGTGGTTATTTTTCTTGTTATTTTATGCACCAGCTATCTGTTTCTTACTTCACTGTCTGGGAATACAAACCATTCTGTCTCATTTCTGACCTTAAAATGGATTGGACAAAAACAAAAGGAAGTTAAAAAAAAAAAGTGTTTTGGGTGGTACCTCTGTACTTGTTTCTGGTGTTGTGTAAGTAATCTTCTTAAACAAATGGCCCAAGTATTACTGTCTGGGAATATTTTGCATATATATATATTCTGTGTGCTGGGTGGTGGTTCATCAGGAGGGGATAAATGTAACCATTTTAGATGTTTAACTGGCTGTTGGGACTTGCCCAGTTTGTAATCATGGTAATTGCACATACAAATATGGCCATATAATTACATGTGCATTTTTGCGTTTACTTTCAGGAGTTCATTTAGAAAAATATAAATGCATCCCAATAAATCCTTTATATCTCAGATTTCTGTGCTTTTATAACTCTATATAATTATGTAATAACACTGCATCTGGAGAGGCTTCACTTAAGTAAAAGCAATAAAGAGCTCAGGTTAGAGTATATATATTTTGAGTTAGACTTATACTAATTTGCTCGGTACTGTGTTTTTCAGCTTGTAAGGCTGATTAAGTTCAGCAGTACTTGTGCAGAAATTTCTTCTTGGGAGAATGAAGAGCAATTTAGTATGAAACCAAAACTAGATCAGGTCATTTAAGCTTCCACGATGACTGAAATGATTAATGGGTCTTAATATAGTAAAATACACACTGAATACTCAGGTACTCGGCCAGTGAAGACTTTTGCCAAGGTACAAATTGGACACTGAAATGAAAGATTTGCTTATGAGCAACGTTCCAGATCTCTGAGATCAAACTTAAATCATTATTATTACTATTGACATTCATGAATTGAGGTAAAATAGACGCAAATAGGTACTGTAATTTCTACTTATGTGATAATATGCACATAAATAGATAGTAAGAATAATTTCTCAATATTTTGTGTGTACAAACATATATGTTTAATGTTTTTATAATCAAAAGGAATGGATAATTTTTGTTTGTTTTCTGTATCCCCCGAATTGTTTTCACAAGTGTTGAGAATGTCTAATGAAGACTGATGCCTTTTTTGTATTCAGTGTTACTTTGAACTAACAGTTATTGTGATACTGTTATTTCCCAGTCTGGATTGCTTGCTGATTTCCCTCATGGCTTTTTTCCCAGTGGATAGTATTACTGTGCTAAGGACAAAAGCTGAACTCTGCAGATGATAAAGAAACAGATGCTAGATTTTGACATTCAGAAGTGAGGGGTTTTCAAACCTACTGAGATTCATCCTGCCTCCTTAGTCTGCCCACACGCAAGAGAGATGTGAAATAGTTGGTAGGGACTGCAGAATCCAACTTGTCCCTGAGAAAATAGTATATATTGTGTTAAATATTTTAATTTAATTTAATTTATGGTTAGCTCAGAAGGCTTAAACAATTGTGCTGATGTGATCCTCTAAGATAGTTTGTAGCACGCAAAGATTTAACTCCTGTCACTAAGCTGCAGAAAAATGATGTCACAGATGATAAGTTACAAACCCAAGTCTGGTCGGAATGGCTCTAAATTAAGAAATTATTGCTGTTGATATCTTTGTCATAGTTGTGGCAGTAAAGACAAAGGTCTGTTTTCGTACTTCAAATGTTCATGTTGGCATCTATCACAAATTCTCTTTTTGGCATGTTTTAAAATAAAATCTTCTAGCTCTTTTTTTTTTTGTTTAGGTTAATGTCCGTGTTTAAGCAGCTGTTTTGAAATACACTGCCATTTTTACACCAAAAAGAAAAATTGTTTACTTCTTTTACATTTTTTGGCACCCTTTTTTCCTTTAAATGTAGACAGCTCCAGTCAAAACTAGCAGCATGGTTCATAACAAATCCCGTATTTGCTGACTTTAGCCTGGTCTTTGCTTTTCTGCCTGGGAAGGTCACAAGCCGTAAGAATGTGCTTGATACTGGAATCTGCTCACAGCGGCTGTGTGCAGCCTCAGCCCGCTCCCTCCAGCAATGGCACTCGCTAGTCTGGCTCTGCTTTCCTCATGATTTCGTGTTGGTCCCTATTCTGGTCTGCATGAACCTGGCTTCTTCTGCAGGGCCATATCTGAGTCCTCTCAGCACAGAGGAGCCCCCTGTCACCTTTCCTGAGCTTTTTAACTAAAAGAGGTTTGAAAAATCAAATTACTCAAGGCAAGACAGTAGAGTAACAGCAACAGGGCATTTTTTAATGCTACATTTTCACACAGGCCCTTTTATTGCATGTTTTATTTGACTGGGGGCAGAGATTACATTTAATTTTATTTCATGTGCATGCTGTTCTGGCTGGAAAATTGCGATCAGATCCTTATCAGGCTCATTTAACAGCCTCTCTGTTAGGGCTTGGCAGGGAGTTTGTAAAAGGCTGTCCCTCAGCCCTGTCAGACATTGTCCCACTCCATATAAAGCAAGACATCTCTTCTCCACGGTCTTTAAATATTCTTCTTGTGCAACTATTTGTGCAAGTAAAAATCATTTAAATGTCCTTGGAAAGCAAATAAAAGAAGAAACTGGAGCATAGCTGAAATTATCATTTAAATGCTTTTAAATTGTAGAAGCTACTGGCAGATAGTATTTGGAGTATTTGCCCTGCTTCAAATGATACTGTACACAGAAGTCCATCAGGTATAGCAAGAGGCAATTTCTGTTTCTGCATTCATGGATATTTTAAATTATTGCTGTTTTTCTTCGTATGTGTTTGTGGTGGGTTGACCCTGTCTGGATGCAAGATATCCACCAGTGCCATCCTCTCACTCCCTTCCTCAAATGGAGAGGGGAGACAAAATATAAAGAAAGGCTTGGGAGCCAAGATAAGGACAGTGAGAAATCACTCAGCAATTACTGTCATGGGCAAAACAGACTCAACTTCGAGAAAAATTATTTAGTTTATCACCAATCAAATCAGAGTGGAGTAATGAAAGATAAAATCAAATCTTAAAAAGACCTTCCCTCCACTCCTCCCTTCTTCCTGGGCTCCACTTCACTCCTGATTTCCCTATCTTCTTTCCTGAGTAGTACAGGGGGATGGGGAAAGAGGGTTGTGGTCAGTTCATCACACGTTGTTTCTACTGCTGCTCCAGTGTGTGGGGTCCCTCCCACGGGAGACAGTCCTCCATGAACTTCTCCAGTGTTGAGTCATTTGCATAGGTTACAGTTCTTCATGAACTGTTTCAGCGTGGGCCCCTTGTAGGGTCACAAGTCCTGCCAGAAAACCTGCTCAAAACCTCCTTTGGGAATCCACATGCTGAGGTATGTTACATTGATATTACCTGGTTGTGCTTGTTTTCAGCTCTATGGCTATTGCTACCAAGACAGCAATGACATCCCAGACACACTGACAACCATCACTGAACTGGGCTCACCTTTAGAGATGATTCAGCTTTTACAGACTTCCTGGGAAGACAGATTTCGGGTGAGTAACAACTGTTTTATAAGAACTCTTAAGAGAGAGAGGAATACAAAATAATATTATGAAGCAGGGGTTATGTACTATTCAGTGCAATTCACATTTATTAAATGTTTGTTTTGCATATGATTACATCTTCATTTAGAAACAGTATGTAGCACTCCCTTTCTGCAGCACTTAAGATGTTGTGCTGTTTTGTCTGTTGATGTTATCTAGTTGTAGCCAGTTATATGGTTTTTACATGATATCTTCAAATATTTCTTTTTTGTTAAAGCTTGAGGGCCAGGATTTTTGGCATTGAGCATTGTGCTCTGCAACTGGGATTTAAACAATAGAAGGATGTTACATTTCTCTCTTGATCCTTATCACAGGTTTGTTTTATAATTGTTTTCTACTGCTTCCTACTCTGTTCGTTTTTTACTGGAGGAAGAGTGAAATAAATGTTCACAAATCTCAAACCCAGTTTGTCCACCGCATTGGCAATTTACCAGGAACATGAAGGTCACACTTAATTTGTCCAAAATGAAGCCAGACTGCAGCAATGCTTTGATCAAGACAGCACTGTCTCGCTTGATGTATGTTGGGATGTGTCGTTGTCTGAAGTTAACTCCCTAGGACGTTGAAAGGCAGCAGCAGTCTTCATCTAAAACACTTTGGATTGCTTGGCTGCATCTGTGCCAGAAAATTAAAAGTGCGCCTGACTGATCTCGGAGTCGAAACAGCAAGGTGCAGCCCACGTCTGTGCTATTGAATTCTTGCACTCTCTGAAGGCTGCGAGCAGGATGCCTGTCAGAAATGGTCCCTGGGCTGTGCTGCCTTCTGGATCGTGTCTGAGGACAGTGCGGGAGAACAACCTTAGTCCCAGTCAGACCTGGCACAGAGACCCTGCTAGCCAGTGTGCATGTGGGATTAAGTTCCTGTGCCCAGGAATGTTCCCTGGCAGAGTTTATTTTACTGATATAGCTGGAGCAAGTGTGTTCCCCGTGCTAAGCTTCAGGTCCCTTTTCCTGAAAGAAACATGATCTTGATAAGCGGTACAGGTACTCATCAGGGCTCCCAAAATACAGAACCACCTGCCTTTGTCTTTTCTCATCCAGGGAATGCAAATAGCGGACTGTGACAGAAATTATGTACTAAGTAAATGACCAAGAGATATAGTAGATTATGGGTAATAAACAGAGAAGTTTCCTTCCAGCGTGAATATTTCCGAGTGAGCAATTGCAAAGGGATATGAAGATGCTGAGCTGATTCACAGAGGTAGAATTATAGATGAAACATTCCTGTGACCACTGTAATGAAGTCATGCTCATTAGTTTGTCTAGGATGCAACTAACTTCAAGAGGAAGGAAATAAAATTGTGTCTTCTTGATATGTGAGATTTGTTTGTGGTCCAGTCCTGTAAATGGCTGCATAAATACATGACCTTGTTCCTACAAATAGTAATTTCCTTGTATTGAGGAACTCAGCAGTAAACTGAGTAAGCCAGGGATATGTGATACAGAGCAAAGCCTTCTTCTGTGTGCTTAAAGGTTGTCGTATGGGGACATTTGCAGTCTCAGCCTGGCAACGGGTCTGCACAACAGAGCCTGTTGGGATTGGTCACAGAGGTTGCTGGTGCAGGAACAGGGGCTTTTTGACATTTGAGAAAAGGCAATAATTTTGGATGACAACCTGTGTTTTTATTCAAGCTTTTTTTATTCGAGTCCTGGGTTTGTTGGCAATTGAAGATATGTATATTATAGGCTAGTTTGGGCTGGATGTGCTTTTTCTATACAGTGTAGTGAGGGGTGACACATACATGAGTCCTATGTCCTTCCAGAGGGAGGAAAGCGTGGTTAAGTTTGGCATTCCATAACCAGGCCTATCTACACCTATAAGCATCTCCATGTGAATTATGGTATCCTGTAAGTAGGAGAAAAATGTTCTTGTCTGGTCAACCAGGAGAATGAGTATGTAGAAGCATGAGATAGTCCTAATGTCCCACAAGTGAGGGGTCTATGAGGGATAGTTTCAGGTATGCTCAGCTTTCTTATCAAGGATGTGTTTAGGTGTTCCCCTGAGTGTATCATTTATGCCCCAAGATTAAATTTGGATTTGACTCCTTTAATGCATGTGCCCTTAACATTGTATTTTAACAGAAAACAAAGATTATGTATAAACAGTAAAAAGCTTGCTAGACTGACTAAGACCTGTTATTAATTTAATACATAAAATAAAAATTCCAGTGTTTAACTGTGCTCATATTAATGCTATATTTGCATTAATAGGTTACATAGTGGATTCTAAAGGAATGTGTGAATTGAAAACAGTACTCTGGTAAGGGGGCGGAGTTCAATGTTCATCGAATTTGCTGTCTAATAACAGTTCTTCAAGTTACAAACCTGCAATTGAAAAGTGAAACATCAACGCAGAGCTCCCACCACAGCCTCAAAGTGGTGCATGAGGCTCCATCAAGGCAGGCCTGCCAAGGCAGATGGACATATGTGCTCTACCTTGAGGCATGCTGAAGAGTTACAGAGGAGCTGTGGAGCTCCTCTTTCTGGGAATTTACTTCCTTCTCCCCTGGAAAAAGCCAAACATCAGAGGAACCAGTGGAAAAAAATTATAAAAGCAGTCAAAAGGCACGATCAGTACAGAGGCAATACAGACACTGTCTGCAACTGGGGCTCCAGGCGTGGGTGCAGGGCAGTCCAGCCAAAATTTCCAGACCTGGAGTTTGTAAAAGAACAGGATCAGACTGTGTGGTCAAGGCCTATGTGTAATGTCTTATTAAAAGTTAGTGCTTTTATTTCTATTAAAAGTAAGAATAGCAACAATCAACCCTGCTTCAAGAATAGTGTGGGAAAGCACTGGTAAAGAAGCTTATTTTTGTTTCAGGTCTCTAAGGGTTTTACAATCAGCTATGTTAATCCTGTGAAAAATACCTTGGTTGCAACACTCAGTTTTGAGGATAAATTATAATGCTTATATTAAGTCATATAATTATGAACATATCTTCAGCTAAAGTGGTTTCGTTATATACTTTCCACTGAGAAAATAATGCAAAGTCCCCATGTTTTTGTGTTTTAGATATGTCTCAGCTTAGTTCGGCTTCTGCATTATTTGGCTCACTCTCCTCTTGGCTCTGTGACATTACTGGATTTTCGTCCTCGGCAGTTTGTGATTGTGGATGGGGAGCTGAAGGTGACAGATCTGGATGATGCCAGCATTGAGGAGAGCTCTTGCACCAGTAACAGTGACTGCTTCATGGAATTCCCTGCGAGAAACTTCACCCTGCCCTGTTCAGTTGAGGGACGGTGTCAGAGTATGAATGAAAAGAGGAATCTCTACAATGCCTACAGGTATGTGATTGGATAAGGTAGTAGAGAATTAAGAGTGGGCCTAAAGCTCCAGCATCCTTTACAGTTATTCACCTCAATAAGCACATACTGTCTAGAACCAACACCCAAGAGTCAGTGTAGCCGTGAGTAATTGTTTAATTTTTGAAAACATGTAGCATTTATAACTTTTGAAAAGTTTTGCATACTCTGAGTGTGATTCACCACTCAGTGTGTTGGCTGAAAGACAACACAGAATCAGACTGAATTCTTCACACAGGTAGAGATTTTCATGGGAGCGAAGCAGAAGCACTTGTGGAGCTGGGGGCCCACAAGCTCTGTGGTGGGATGATTCCAGCAGCTCTTCTTTGGTGCGAGTTAAGAAGGGTCATCATGTGTTTTCCACCACCAGCTCAGTAAAGGGCTGATTTCAGAGGCAGAATTAGAGCTCAGTTCACATCCTGCACTCTGGCTTAATGCTCCTCACCTTGCCAAAGCCTGCCATGGTGGGGTGATAGCAGCCCTGGTGCAGCCATAGGGCTGCCAAAACCGCCCTCAGTTGCTGAAAATCTGGGGTGTAAGCCCAAACCTTATAAAGCAAGAGGTGGTCTTTTCACCCTCCCCTCCCAGCCCTTGGTCTCTGTGGTCTCTGTGGGCAGAAGCTGGGGGACTCGCTCCCAGTGTCATGCTCACAGTGGGGGACACATAGATGATGGGTCATGCTGGACCAGTTGGCCACGCTGAAGAAAGTGTTCAGCTGATGCATCCATGTTTGAAATTTGACTTTAAAGGCGCCTCCAGATTTACAACTGAGCCCCTCTGGGCAGTGGTTTTGTGTTTGTGGTCTCAGATCTTCCCCACTGGCCATCACTCCCCTCGAAGGGGATGCTGGGGGAGCTGTGTCACTGCATTCCAGGGACTCAGTAGTGGGATGCTCAGTGCCATGCTCCTCCTGCTGCTGCTGCTCTGTTTGAGCACTGCTGGGACAGGCGGCTGCCTTGTCTGATCCAGATAGGAAGATGGAGATCTCAGAGCAGAGTCATAATGGTGTGCTCATTTCTTAGACTTCCCTTTCAAGTATCATGCCATTCACTGCCTGCCAGACCACAGTGAGGAGAGGCTGCTCCAAAGAGAGCCTTCCGCTTTGGTCTCAGGGCACTCACTGGCATGTGTGTTGCATTAGCTGACCACACTGAAATGGGCTGCACCACATGACAGCCATCTGCAGTTGTGCAGTGCAGTATTTAGTGTGTCCTGCAAAAGTTTCCATTTCCATTTGCTTGGCTTAAAGATCTTGCTTAGCTTGCTAGCTTTTGGTTAAGACTGTTTTACTGGTCTGGCTAAGAAACCTTTAGTAGGCACCCATCCATCTCGGTGGTAAGTGGGGATATGTCTGTGGTGTGGTGGGCTTGTGGCAGGTTGCTGGTCATGCTGAAGGAAGTGGTCTTTTTCTATTACAGTTTTTAGTATTGCCTTTGAACCACTCACCAGCATGTATTGCACACACAGTGCCCCAGTGTTTTCAGCTCCTGTTTTAACTTAATTTGATAGAGACAGTGGGGTTTTGTTGAACAGTGGATGCATGTTATGGTAGGCTGTGACCACCCACGCTAGGGCATTAGGACAAACCCTATGCACTTGTCTCAGAAGGTGAAATCCTCACTTCATTAGGGGTAGGCTACTAAATTTCTTATTTTCATGGATGCACTCTGTTGTTCTAGGCTTAGAGGCTAATCTCAGTAAAGGGTTGCTGGTGCTGTTAGGTAGAAGCAGCAATATGTCGAACAATGCATAAACACCCTATAATTGTCAAACATAGCACGCCCTAGCCTTGAAAGCATACTTAGTCTATCTAGCTGGTTTCTTTATGAGGTAAATAATTAAAGGAGAGAAAATATTTGGGAAAAACCTTTACTATGCAAGAACTGGCCCATCATGACTTTCAGATGGTTACCTCCTGTCACAAATGTGTCTCTATGGGTTTTCATCCAAATGTTTGGGGGAACAGTTTTCAAAGCACTGGACAGTTTTGAAAGTAAGCATAATTAATATTTTGAAGTAGTAACCAATGGCTGAAAGGAATTCTCCATCATTGACAAACCTTAAATTAAGATCAGATAGTTCTCAAAAAGAAACAATTTGTAGGAACAAATGTAAAAAGATCTGACAGTCTGTGTTATGCAGATCACAAGGGATGCCACTGGCCCTGGAATCGATGAATAACAAATGTTTCTGCAATTAAGTTGTGCCGACGCCAGTGTCTATACATGTCAGAATTTCTCATGTGGGTGTTTGCGTTAGAACAAGTCATATATTTCTGTAGCCATGGAAAAACAATAACCTCCATGACTTGCTTCCAGCCAGCATTTAGCAAAGTAAATGACAGCTACTGAATTTTTGCAAAGAACTATTTACAATCAGTTGGACTCTGCTTTAGGGGTAATTTCTAAGCAAAAACAGTGAGGTAAAATTTACCAGACAAATTATTCATCACAAATGTGCTGCTCTTCAGATATCTGTATGTATTTACATTGCCTGTTTTATACTCACTGTTAAGGAAACCTACAAGGGGATAATCCCAGTTGGGAAAATCATAAATACTATTTTTGTAAGGGATGAAAAAGGGAGGTACAATTTCAAGGAAACATTCATTGTATAATTAGAATTTCAGCTCAATAATACCTTCATCTATGATGAATTTTTGATATCAGTAACCTAATTTCTTAATTTGTGCTAATGTAAAGCATCTGCTGGTCTCCCTCGAGTATGAGTCCCTGGGGATTTCCATTTGACAGGGTGGTCTTGTGTATGAAAAAGTGTTTACTTTGCTTTGCAAGTTAGATGTGAAGCATGGAAATTTCTCAGTTGCGTTCATGTTCTTTTCTTCAGCTAATATTTATGTCCAATAGTTCTGTTTATATTGTTGATCATGAACTGTCCATCTCCATCTTAGGTTTCTATGACACTGAGTTTGTTGCAATATGTAGTAATATTGGAAGAGTAATAGAACTTTAAAGGAAGAATATGAAAATTAAATGTACTACAAGTGGTGGTAAAGGCATATTGTTTTTTCTTTTGTAACTAAAAATACTAAAGTGGAGTGGTGGATTCTCCTTCTCTGGAGATACTCAAAAACCATTTGGACACAATCCTAAGTAACATGCTCTGGGGGTCCCTGCTTGATCAGGGAGGCTGGACTAGCTGACCTCCAGTGGTGTTTTCCAACCTTACCCATTCTGTGATTCTGTGTGTGTGATTCTGTGATTATACATCCATCAGTGAATACCTACATGAATGCACCTTGAATATAGATAAATAATGAGAATAGAGAGGACATTCTGTATGTATTCCAGTGGGGTTAAAACAGTAGAAGAAGGCTTTCTCCTGTCAATTAGTTGAGAAATATAACAAAACTGTAGAAAAGAAAATAATAGTAATTTATTTGAAATTAATAGAAATATGATTTATGCACTTTCAGGGTTTGAAAAAAAACCCAAACCCAAGACTTCTGGGATTGACTGCTTTTTAGTTTGTTAAAGTACAGACAACTTTGCAAATAGTCATCCATGGGGCTTCACAGCAAATTGCTATATTAATGGAACATTTACATGTAGGTACAAGGCAGCCTTGTGTGTAACAGCGTAGTCTAGGTATGCCAGACAGCTGTGTGAATAGTCTCAGCTATGTATTTATTTGACTATAGAATATGGTTATATTTCCTGAATAGGTCACTGGCATATAAGCAATAGGAATTTTATTCCTTATGCTGTTCAGGAGTTACCAGACATTTTTTTAATTCTTTAAAAAACAGTTTCAATATGGGTTACTTTTCTATTGCAGGTTTTTTTTTACCTATCTTCTTCCACACAGTGCTCCATCCTCACTGAGACCATTATTGGATAAGATAGTCAATGCAACAGGTAATGACAATAAACATAGTAATGCCAAGTACTTAGTTTTTCAATGTGACTCCCGTGTTTGAGATGGGGAGGGTGCTGTGTTTATGCTCACTGCAATAGAACCAGATTGTTTTTCTATCCATGGTAAAATTACTCCTGTACAGAGAAGGCAAGAAGGGCCCCATACACCAGAGAAATCCCATTTTGAGATTTTAATCTAGGCTTCACAGAGGTATTTGCTTCATCCTGACACCTCAGCACTGGGGTGAACTGCATCAGAATGCAATTCCTTTTGGGTCCTGGAAGTACTTCTGTCCCTAAAAAGAGAAATTTTAGTGGTAAAACCCAGAATACTTCCCCATTGCCAATGATACAAGTGGTGGTTTATACCTCAGAAGCCAGAGGCAAGTGATGTTGCCGTAGATGTTTACTGATTACCAAGGTAGAGCCTTTGAGTAGTTGCATGTGCCTGTAAATCTGATTCAGGGGTTTTTCAGTTCATTGTTCCACTGTGCATCAAAGGGGGAAATTAATGATGCTGGGCTATAGCTAATTAACAAGCAAAGCTTTGGAGTTCCCTGTAGTTGGCTGAAGTTCATCCCTTGTGGGGAGCTCACCTCAGTGTTTTCTGCCCACAGGCCTGGGATTCCCAGCTGGATGAGCCAGCCTCTGACATGCCTGGGTCATGTCAGGTGTGAAACCTGATTTGTAGTAACTCAAGGATTTCATGTCCACATCACAACACTGCCATGGAGCAGGGCACCACAGGTCTCTGATGCTTAGGGCTTTACTCAAATGCAATCTCATTTTGTCCTATGCAAGATACTCCTCATCTAACTCATTCTTTTTCTATACTTTTGAAGGAGAACTTCACTGGGGAATAGATGAGACAGCTGCTCAGCTGGAGAAAGTTTTGAATCTGTATAAGAGTGGGGAGTACCTACAGAACACAACCCGGATGCCAAAAGCTGGTAAATTGGTCTTTCTTGAAACTTAAAATCTGAGACTTTGTCTTTATTTTGAGGTTTGGAAGGGTAAATGTGCAGAAAACAGGGCTCAATGGCCCTTGAAATTAGGCATGTGATAGTATTTTATCTGTTTTTTGATTCCTGGAGCTTTCTCAAACCCTTCTCACTGAATGATGTAGCTGGACATCCATAGGTGTGAACAGGCTGTAATGGGAACAAGGAAATCCAAAGGGAGCATTGCTCTCCTTGACAGATTTATGGAAAATGCATTTCATCACATCCACACATTGCTGTTGGGAGTATCAGAACCTGCCTAAACATATATTGCAGAGAATCTAACCAAGATGTGGTAACCCTCCATGGATTTCCTGTAACTTAAAGGTATTTCTTGTAACATAAGCACTTGTAGATGGGAAGAATAAAATTTTTACTTCCTTTGCGAGAGAAAAAAAGTGTGTTCCTCAGCTTCTGCTAGTAATAGAATAATAGAAAAAAAGGACAGGATGAGAACAAAACTGCATAATAGTATCTTTTTCATAAAATTTCTGCATGCTATTGAAACTGTGGTATGAAGTGAGCCACAGTCTTCCTAGAAGGGGTAACTGAGGAATTGAACACGTTAAAGGAGATTATGTATGCTGAAAATGACTGTTAAGTCCAACAATTGTAAAAGCTGTTTTGCAAATTATTTTTGTGTATGTACAATATTCATGTCAAACTGTCAACATAATTGACAACAAGTTGATAGGAAAGTTATGGCTTTGCTGCAAAAGCTCAGTAAAGAGGGAAAGATGGGTTCTAAATGAAGATGAATGTTGGCACAGGGGATTTGAAAAGTTCAGTGAAGCATTTGCTCAGTGAAAGAAACACAGGAGTCATTCTGGTCATAGCGCTGTTAACCTCAAAGGGCCATGATACCATGGATGAATTTGACCCACTTATCAGAATAATTCAATATTTATTTTGTTGTAAAATTGGCAGGAAAATTGTTGCAGGTGTTCGTTTAACTTTCTAATTTTCAGGTTTTCATCACAATCTGTGCTGAGTGATGCCTGTCAACACAGCAAAATTATTTTCAGCAGTACAATCAATAGTACAAACACGTCCTTTGTTGAAGAAGTGCCAGGAGGGCTGAAGTTGTTCTATGGTGCTGGTTGATTCGAGATCTAATTGCTATATCAGGACAAGATGAAGTTTTGGATTTTAGAGGTCTGTCATGTTTATAAAGAATCTCAAGGAGAGAAGCTTTGGACAGCGGTAGTAAATGTAACAGTGCAGGTTTCTACTGATATGGAGCAGAGCTCCATGTGTATTTGGCTACTGTAATAATTACACATTTTTGTGTTATTTTAATTCTGTAGAGTCCTGGATAATATAACACAGAATGTGCTAGCCATGTTCGTGGTTAGTTAGCTCCCTGTTCTGCAAGGAGCCCTTTTTTATTTGTAGGACACTGGTCATGGACTTGGACACTCTACAATGTGACCAAAGATGTTGAAAATCTCTGGATGTGGCATATTTGGCTAATCTACATTAAATACCTTGCGTGTAATACTGAATTCCTTGATAGGAAAATGTTCTCAACCAATGGCAAGCCTGAAGAATTGGGTATCTTACTGGAAACTACACTTAAAAGAGATGTGTTCTTAGCCCTAACTGCCATGCGTTTAAGATGTGCAGGCCTGTTTCTTGTTTGTTCTAAGGCTACTTTAACCAAACAGAGAAGGTGTTGTAACTTATTTCTATTTTAAGGCTCCCTTTGCTTGCCAGAAAAGTATGAAGTCATATCAGGAGGGTAAAAATACGCCTACATACCCATTTGTATCATTTTTATTCCAAACATATTCTTTCCTCAGCTTATATTTGACTGGTAATACCATGCTGGAATTAATTTTTAATGTCCTCAATCCAGAGATTCTGGAATTAGAATTTATTAATTAGAAATTATCCAGAGATAATGGAATGAGAAATTCTCCTGTTGAACAGTGAAGTTGCAGGAGAGGGTGACAGGTGTTCTTGCAAGGGAGTGGTGTCCAAGCGATCAACCTCTTCCACTGGCAGGATGCTGCCAACTGAGCATGGCATCCTGGCCACCGAAACCAAGGCTGAACAGTTGAGCAGATTAAATATTTTGTATTAATCTTGGTGACTAGTAGAGGAATAGACAGGAATTAAAAGGAAGAACTGTGATACTTTCCCAAGATGTCAGCTGAGGTCCTCCTTTGGCTCTCTTTGGGCCAAAAAGTATTTTTAAGATTGTGGGATTTTATAAAATGTTTTCTTGTGTTGCTCTGCAGCATAGTGAAAGTTCAAGGAGAGTGTTTTTCAACTGAGTGCTAAATTAAGATAAAACTAGAGATGATCATTTGGTTCTCAGGCCAGATCAGAGTTAGTCAGCTTTGCATTCATCTGGTGGTGTGCCAAAATCGTGGAGGCACAAGTTTGCATCAGTTTTGCTCTGGATGATGGAAAACTTACAAGGTGACTTGCTCCCAGGATTTTTGCTTTCATGAATAGTAGAAATGGCAAGAATTGCCAGTCTCCTGGCATCTGAGGGGTTGTGACAAAATAAGACCTTTCTGGTGTACAATCTATTTTGAAATCCTAAAAGCAGAACTGGAGGAGAATTCAGATCCAAGAATTACAAGGTTTGGTTTTGTTTCTGAAAAGAAGCTACAGAAGGTTTATGTAGTGGTGCTTCAGAATTTGCCTTAGGTCTAAATGCTTGGAATTACGCATTGTCTTGGATAGAGCATTGTAAATTTGTAGTAGGAAAAAGGAGATCATGATCTTGGGCAAGTGATCTAAGGCTGTAACTAAAACATGAACTTTGAGGAAACAGCGTGTTATCTATTTGAACTCACATTTTTGAAAGGAAGACCTCCTCCTGTGAACACCACAAAGTGAGAAAGGTGATATTGATAAGCAGTAGGGAAGTGACACGAAGAAAGTTCTTGTCAGCCCTAGTGTTCCCATAAATAAAGTTTAACAAGATGACATAGTCATATTACAGAAGGCCTTGGATATTAAGCTTTCACTGTGCTTCAGTTGTAAAGATTTTATAGTGCTGTAAATTATATTATGCTCTGGACTTTGGTTTAGTATCTTGGAGTAGAGGCGCAGCAGACATTCGATAGCTATGTATGTGTTCTGTAATCATAAATCACACTACTGTTAACGTTGATATAGGAACATTGCAGTGTTTAAAACAACACCACAAACAAATACTTTTATATTCCATTGACTGTTGGCCTCTCTTGCTGTAATCCAGAAGAATGTGAATTAAAACAGAAACCATGTATTTCTTCTGACATATTTTATCTAAAAGTGATTAAATAATTCCATTAATTATCCAGATTAAGAAGACTATAAAAAAACCCTACTGATGTTCATCAGTAAAGTCATGCCCTGGTATCAACATTTTTATCACTTCAATCAAGTGACAGTGATTTGTACTGAGTATTTGGCCCTTGAGCTAAGCCTCAGCCGTTCAGTTAGCTAAGAATTTACTCAGAAATGCATGAAATCAGCTAACACTAGTAAATTGGATAGCTTTGTTATTCATTAAAGCTAATAGATGACCCATTATTAGGTCTGGGGGCGTGCAAGCCTGCAGAAAGGCATAATTAGCTGCTGTTGTTAGCTGAAAGTACATTCTCAAAGCTAAAAAAACTGAAAGGCTGGACATAAAGCAAAGACACTTTGTTTTCTTTTGTCTCAAGACAATTTGGCAAGATTATGCTGTATGTAAATATTTACAGTACAACAGTGTTTTGAAAAAAATATTCTGCAGGGTCACTATAGCAACCTGCTTAGGAAATTGTAAATCCACCCAAGAATTACTGAAACTGGGGGGGGATGTGTGTTTGTGCACATCTGTGTGAGAGAGAGACATTTTGCAAGGCTGCTGAAATATTGTTGGAGGCAGTTTGTATATCCTGTGGCAGGCCACAATGGAAAGGCTAAAAGTATGCTGCTGATGGTGCTTGAAGGTTCAGCTGGGAACGTACTGCAGCTTAGTCCTTGCAGCCCAGATTTCTGCTTTATCTGACACTTGTGCCTTTCGTGTTCCTTTCCCAGAGACCTCAAGGCTGAGGGGGAAAGGTGCGCAGGGTTTTATGCATGGGCAGAAAGTCAGCCTCTACACCCTGCCTTGCATGGAAGGCTCTCACATCAGTAGCTGGGCAGTTCCAGCACCTGGGAATACGGGAGCAGGTTCCTTTGCACCCAGACGACACTGGCAGTACAGTGGGGCTGTGTTGCTCACATGTGTCTCCACCATGGTGAAAACCATGTGTCCTGTTCACTGAGCAATGTGTTCTGCTGTTGCTAAACTTCATGTCCAACTTAGCAGTGCACAGTAGAATACCTTCTGCTGAGGTCCTCAGTTCCTTTCCAGAACACTAAAGACCAAATGTCTTTTATAAACCCCGTAGGCAACTGTCTTCAAGCTTAAATACCGTGCACACATGACCCTAGACAACTCCTAGTTTGTCTACCATCAGCATCATTGTTTTTTACGTGTATAAGTATCTGTAGGATCATTTTGGGCTAATTGCCTTCAGTAAATCAGTGTGTGCTGCAGGGGTGGTTGTGAGTATGGAGCAGCTCCACAGCCCACTGAGCAGCCCTGGGATGGGGGGTATGAGGCAGGAAAAATGCTCCAGCTGTGTCATGTTAACAGGAATAAAATGTAAGGGAACATGGCGTTCTTCTCCTTATTTATTTGTGTTTCGGTGACAGCTTGCATACCGATTTAAATATGGCTCTACTGTAAGCACAATGGAAGCGCATAAAAAGAGACAAGCCTCACTTTGCTTCCAGCCTGCACACAGGAAGCAGTCAAAGGACAGAAATACTCACCAAAGAAGTAGGGCTATCTCCTGGTCTGACAGCAAGCCCATGTCCTGCCTGGCCAGCGTGTCTTTCCAAACAGTTGGGATGCGTCAGAAATGATTGAAAGCAGAGACACATGGAATACGCCTACCCTCTCATTTTCTCAGACATACCAAAAAATAGCTTTCTGCAGCAAACTGTGCATAGGGCTTTGCAGGGCTCATTTTCAGAAGCATGTTTAAATGTGAGGTACTGAAACATGAGGAAAATTTCAGCATAAAATGAAGCGTACTAAAAACATAAGTGTATTATTGTCTGTTTAGGATGTGATTCTGTTCTCCATAAGCTCCCTGGGAATCAGAGGGGACTGTTTGTAGAGCAAAACACTGCTCAGTACCACTTTTTGCTGATATTGGCAAGATCAGGCTCTTTCTGCTTTCTTGTAAGCAAAGCAATTAAAAGCAATTCCAGAGTGGACTGCCAGTGTTCCTCTTGAGAGCGGAGGAAAAAAGGAGGGAGAAAAAGGAGCAACATGATTTCTCTCTCAAGGATGAACATTGCTACGTTTGTGTCATTGACCCACGGTGTATTGGCAGGTGATAACTAGAAAAGAAAACTGGGCAAATTTCCAACAAGTAGCTGTAGTTGGTAGTAAAAATGCATTCTGGCTGCTGTGGCTGAAATAAACGGTCATTAGGACTGATTAAAGTCAGATTTAGGGTGATTCAGACAGGCTAACAGGGGGAAACCACAGGCGGTTTCACATAGTTTATTATATACTTGTGGAGTTCTTTATATAATTCAGTCTAGTACAGTCAAAACGAGTATGTTTATAGATTGTAGTTGGCTTTGGAACAATGCAGGTGATTTTTCATGGAAAAAAGTTTAGAATAAGAATTTAAAGCATTGGCTTTTTTTAATAGCTGTTGCACTGGTCAGAGATGCTGCAAATTGCTTTTAAAGATGCCTCTCTTACTTGTCACAACAAGTAAGTGAACTTGGTTTGAGTATCACTGTGGCCATCATAGGGGCTGGCTAGCATGCTAAGAAGCTTCTGAGAAGATTTTGGCCTGTTTTGATTGATCAGAACAGGCTCTTAAAACCATTTTAAAACTACTGAAAATATCACAAACCCAGACTTCTGAGGATTGGCCATATTCAACATAGGAAGATATTTTGAAGTTTAAAAATGTTTACACGTCAGAAAAATGTTTCGCAGTAGGATTTATTTGTGTAACTGCGAGCTTCTGTATTAGCTCCCATATATTAAGCCGGAGTAAATCCATTATAAGAGACATCAAAATCAAGCTTACTGCACTGCATTTCTTTGCTTCAATCCTCACAAAATTAGTAGATGCAGGAAAGGATTCTTTTTCTTTTGTGATATGAGTAGGAACTCCTTGCATTTCTCTCCTTGCCATTACCTTGATAGACTTTATGTACTCTGTGTCAAGCTATGTGTATGTACGCAAAAGTGTAAATTTATGGCTGCATTTATAGTATTAGGCAAGCATTTATTGGTTTTAAACACCATTAGTCTGGAAATCGACCAGAACTTTGACCTTTTTATGATGTGATTTACTGCTGTGAGCCTTCAAATTCCAAGGACTCCATTTAAGCAAGTTTTAGGTCTTGGCAGGACAAAAACCTGAGCTGGAGCTGTCTTTAAATCATTGGAATATTGCTTAATTGAGTGAGTAACTGCGCTGTATCGACTAAGATGATAATTTAAAGTGAAGGGGAAGCCTAACTCTCCAGAGGGCTGAAGCTATTGTCATTGCTGGGGCACATCTCAAGGGAGGAGCATCCTTCGGGAGGGTCCTTCTAGTTCATGTGAGAGGAGCACCATTCTTTGCAACTCATACATATGAGAGCTAAAGGGTCAGCTCCCTAAATAGTCACTGTGCAAGCAAGAGATTTCAGTGATTCGCTGTGCAAATGAGCAAGGCAGCTACCTTGCTGTGCTCGAGACAGAGAGAGTTTTGAACACAAATACAGTTTTCCCAGACCGGCCCTTGGCTGGTGTTGCAATGAGTTTCTGAGCAGTTCTGACTGTAATAGATTAAGAGGAGATCCCGTGTTGGCTTTCCAGGGCAGTGGGAGTGCCTGGCTGGTTTGGGAGCATGAACCAGGGTGCATGAACCAGGCCATCGTGTATCCCACTATCTGCTTCTTCTGGCTGCCTTCCCATCGAGATGCTCCCGAGGAAAGGCGATCCTAGACAGCCATTCCTGCTGTCTGCCATGCAAGTGAGGAGAGAGGCTGTCTTCCTGCCTTTCCCCCTCACTGCATCCCACTCCCCTCCCTGCAGGCAGCATAGGTAGGAGACTCAGATCCCCAGACTGCAGGCATTCAGCGGTCCGTGCCAGTTTGAGGGCCTGCCAGAGGCTGTGTTTTTGGAGCCTGTATGACTGTGTGCTTTCACTTAGACTCCAGTGGCTGTATTTTCACCTGTCTGGTGCTTGATGATCTCACAACCAAAGGAAAATGCTCTTTGCATGTGGGTCATGCTGCTGTGTACCTGTTATCCTGCCCTGTTCCCATGAGTCATTGGAGATGGTTGTGGCTTTCCCTCGTGTAGGAGCTTGCAGGGAGCAGCAAGGAGAGTAGGGACAGCCACAGGACTCTGCTGCATGGTGAGACCACCCTGAGTACTGGCATGGCTGTTTCCATCCTCTCTTGCACCCGCAAACCAGGACCTTACCATCACTATTGCAGTTATTGTTGGCCCAACTCTCTTGATTAATGTGTTCATGCTGCCCAAATGATTTACTAGGCTTGGTCACCTTGAAAAAGTCAATGGAAAGGGAGAACTTTATCTCCTACCTCTGACAGAGCCTCAGGTCATGTAAATCATTGCTACTCTTTTGAAGTCTGTTTGCATCAGCCAAGAGCCTAACCCTTGACAGCAGTGTCAGGAGCAGTGGTGAGAAGAAGGAAAGTGCTGTTGGTGTACTGAGAAGCACATTTGTGCTCAGAAGAGTTTAAGATTGGATAATAATTCAAAATAGGGATCTTCCAGACGGGCTTCTTGCTTGCATGGAGAAAAATACACAATGTGATATGAGGCTGCTCTGTGTAGTGCCACGATGATGTGCTGAGGGATCCTGCAACTCGCTCCCAGCCCCCGAGCGGAGCCTGTTGGACTCCAAAAGTGCCATGGGGAAGGGCCAGGCACACTCCTTGCTGACACAGAGAATCAGGCAGCTGCTTCATCTTCTACTGCCACAGCAAGGACCATCCTTCTGTGAATGTCCACAGTGCTGTGGGACTTGGCACAATGCAATGTTGAGTTTTGCTTCCATTGTGTGCAAAGAGGAGTTGCGAATAATCATATTTTATATCTAGTCAACGTGGCATGTATGCTGATACAAATGGTTATTACATATGGTGCTAACTGCAGTGAATTGATTTTTTTTGCTTTTAATTTGTGCACATCATTTTACTGACCTTGTCTGTTAGGTACAAATCAATACTCAGCAGTTGCTGTATGGAGATAAGAAAATATTATTCTGTTACATTTAATTGTTGTTACACTACAGTTGATTGAGAAATTGGGAAAAAAGGGACTTTACCCATCCAGACAGTAGCAGTTTGATTTATGCTCTGATTTGAATTCAGAAGAAATGCATATATATTTTTGATAGAGAAATGACCATTTGTAGTCTGGAACTACATTTTGATTTTTTTTTCTTCTTGTGCATGAATCTATGTTTGAATTATGAAAATTCTTTTGCTTTTTATTTAACTGGGACATGATCAGCTCTGATTTTGCTTCTTGGTTAGGAATGTTTCTTATGATACTTTTAATGAGCCAAGGCTTAAAATAGAATGCATTTACTACATTTATTTCCCACTGTTCCAGACTGTGTGGTGTGAATGAGCACTTGCGGAAGTGTACTTCTTTTCCCGGTTGAAATACTGACAGTTTAGAGTAGTAGACACACTCACTTTTGACTTGGTGGTGTTTGTACAATGTGCTGTATGAAATATTAGCAAACTGAATCAGCAAAGGCAGGCTGAAAATGCCTGAACCAAAGTGACTTAAGAATAGGCTGTGAGTCAGAGTAGGCGGCTGGTTTTCATAATAGATAAAATTAGAAGAAATATAAAATGTATTTAGTTTTTTGAATAGGACATGGAGGGGAGAGACAGGAGGGAACCATTAATTTGTGCGTCTGGATGCTAAATAGAAATGTTTATAATGATTAGTTGAATTTGCTGATGCATTCATTAGAGAAACCCCCGTCAGTGGCTGGGAAAGTGAGAGGAGCTGTGAACAGAGAACAAGAGGCAGCTCATAAAGGCAAGTGAGACTGAACGGCAGCCAAGGGAGAGGAGCAGTCGGCGGGGCAGCGCAGAGGCGCTGGGCGAGGACCACGCTGACATGCTCCCACTACTTTTTTTACCCCTTCTCTTCAGAGGTCCATCGAGTGACTCCTCTTTTGTCCTAATCTGAGCAAGCAAAAAATGTTTGCTCAATTAAAAGCCTGTCTTTTCTTCCTTCTCTAAAGGAGCCGGAGAAAAATAGCATGCCCTTCTGAGGGAGAGGGAGGGCTGTGAACGCCTGGTCAGGTCTCACCCCGACAATCCTGCTCACTGTTGAGAAGTAGGACAGTGAGTCAGTTCATTCAAGTGGATGCTGTTTATTCAATGGGACATTCTTCCTGTAAAACTCCTAATAAAACCAAAGCCTCGCCTATGCAGTGGGGAGGGTTTTGTGCACAGACTGTTTATTTACAGACACTTTCTGGAGAAAAAGGTGAGAAGAAGAAAGGAGGAAAGGAAAAGGAAAGTAAGGTGCAGAGCTATAAACACATTTGGGAGTAAACCAGGGCTGGTACACTATAACCCGTCAGCTTTTCCATCATATATCCTACTCCTAAGCTGTCAAAATAAACCTTGTCTGTTAAAAACAAGCAGTTCACTGGAGTTTTCAAAACGATTGCTTTGCTCTGGTTATTTGCAGAGTACAGACGGGTGCCTGAAGCTTTTATTCCTGATGAGAACTACAGATGCTGGCCATCTTACCATCACAAGGGCTGCCTCCTCTCCGTGTTTGACGTCAATGAAGCCATTGAGATCTGTGACAGCTACTCCCAGTGCAAAGCTTTTGTCCTAACTAACCAGACGACTTGGACAGGTAGGTCATGGATGCTGTGGAGCAGAAAGCAGCATCCAAGTCACCTATTCTGGCTAAGCATTTTAATGCAGATTGAAGAGTGTGTTGTGCTGGACTGTGGGAGCCACAAGCATCTAGAGGTAAGGTAGTTTCTGGAGCTTGAGCTGAGGCAGTTTCATTTTTGGTGAGGTTTCTCTTTGCCAGCAGTCAGGGGAGCAGAAACCTACAGACAGACTCTTAGGAGCTGGCTCTACTGGGCTACAGCACATGGACCATAAGTTACCAAACCACAGGATCTGAAATTTTATTTTAAAACACAGCAGCAGAAATGAAACCTGTGACCTGTTTCCACAGTTAAATGTGCAAGACACAGTCCAACATCTGGAATTTAATAAATCTTTCCAATCCATATGGTTGTTGCAGTGCGACACAGAACTAAACAGGTTGTGTGTATCTAACTGCGACTTGCCAGCTGATGTCAGAGATGCCCTAGCACTGATGGGAACACTGTGCTTCTACGAGTAGAGCTTTGGCTAAAGGACAATGAGAAGAGAGTGTTTAAAGCCTGGTAGAGGAGGAAGTAGAAATAGAGGTGGAAGTAGAAATAGAGGTAGAAGTAGAGCTTCCAGGGGAAAATCCTATTTGCTACCATTTTCTTGTCTAACGGAATACACTTGTTGAAAAGAGAAATACATTTTCCAAAAGGTCTGTGGGCCTGGCAGTCCCAGTGTGGTTCCCCTGAAGGCAGACAGGCGGTTCCAGTTGACATCAAGCATAGAATTGGCCCCAGCTCACTGCTTCTGCACCGGACTTGTGCCTATTTCAAGCAGCTCCAGAGCCATCTGAGAAACAAAAATGTTACAAATCACTGCTAAAAATTTCCACCAGCTGCAGCTCCAGAATGGATGAGGGTTTCAAAGAGCTGAATGCTGCAGCCGTCTCACAACCCCACACCCCTTCCCTGTGTGCCCAGGGCAGCTCCTTGCCCCCGCTGCTGGGCCCGACCAGCTCTGCTGCAAACTGCAAACTAGCCCTGAGCAAACTGCACCCCACAAGAGTAAAGAAAAAAGACGTTTCTGTGAGGTACAGAGGACCAAGTCCATGTTCTTTCGTACTCTTCCCCCAAGATAAAACCTGCACTGAAGTCAGGGCGAGTTTTTCTCCTACAATGGCTGGTTGTGGACACAGATGTGGAAAGTACCTCTGTGGTCTTTGCTGCAAGGAAAGGCAATGATGATGCAGGTCTGTGGGGCAGCAGGAGCTCGCTGGGAGGCAGTGATGTGAATAAGGTGCCAGGTCAGTAAGTGTGGGGAGATAGAACAACTGTGCTGTGGCTCCCATAAATACCAAAACTCAGCTCCCACTGGCCTAGGATATAGGTGTGGCAGGTGCCTTACACTACCCATGCTGTTATCACTAGCTGCTACTTTTTGTGTGAGGAGTAGAAACCTTGTTCCAGCTTGTGTAAAGCCCAGAGCTACAAAGTGATCAGCAAGACCTATTTTGTAGAAAGTCATGTTTAATGTACATTGCACTGAGAAGTTTTGGAAAGATTCAGGTGTGCAGATGTGATTCTGCTCCTGTACAATCAAATCCATGGCCTTCATGTAAGCCCTTAACTCAAGCCTGTCTGTATCAGTGGGAGAGTGTTAAAATACTTTTTTAAAGATTATGTGAAATTTGTATTAATATCTTTAGATCTTTCCTTCATTTACTGTGTTAGCTGTGCATAGCTATATCTTGACCGTAATTAGGTAAGAGTAAACATTCTGAAACTGGAGGAAATTTGGTATCATTTTAGAAAAAAGCATTTCAGATTTATACCAGCTGAAGTTAAGCAGGACTTCAGTCTCACATTGCCTGAAGAGTGCATAGGTTTAACTGGAATTTGCAATGTCAATATTTTGACATAGGCAACCTTTTACTCACTTGTAAATATTTTTTCCTTTTCCCCTCTTTCCTATTTGATGCAGGTCGGCAGCTTGTCTTCTTCAAGATGGCCTCAAATCATATTGTACCTGATCCTGACAAAATAACATATGTGAAGGTGACAGACTGACACCTAAAGTGGCTCAGTCTGACATGTGAGTGATAAGAGCTGTTTGTGTATAAATATAGGCAGCTGTTAGGTAGAAGATGGCTGTGGCTGTTGAAATAATTGCACTATTACTCTTTCTAATCTATAGAGTGCTAAAGGAAACTTTAAAGAAAAAACCTGCGTGACCAGGATGAATGTGCAATAAAACAACATTTTGAAAATGTGATTAAAAAAAAAAAAAAGAAAAAGAAAAAGCAAAGCAAAAATACAAGATATGATACACTGTTAGAGTATAATTTTGGTTACAAATCACCTGGCAGCTCTAGCTTTTCTAACCAAGGTTACCACAACATTTCTGACCTATACATGTGTGTACAGGGATGAAAGTTGATAATTTCTATGGGAAGTCTGTATCCTCCATGCTGACATTTATTTGGGTACATACAATCACAACAGAGTAACTGGAGCGTATCAGTTTGTATGCTGGACAGCAAACGTTACTGAGGACAATCAGCATTTGTGTTAAAGCTATCGAATATGCAATGCCAGCATATTTGTCAAACGGAAGGAATTGGTTATGTTTAGATTTGCAAGACTGTAACTAATTTTCATTTTTGCTTCCAGTGTTATCATAAAGTTTCATTTTTAATTTGAAAGAGCCATTTTGTAGATCCAGCAAATCACATAAGCATATGAAAAGTCCCACTGAAAGGGTAGGGACTTACCCAAGTGCTTTGCTGGATAGGCCTAAGCATATGCTTACAATTAAGCCTGTGCTTAAGACTTTTGTTGAATCAAGTTTGAATTGTTCAGGAAGCCACGTCTTTGACAGACTGCTGAAGCAGTCCAGCTGGTGGAACAGTACTAAGTTAATTACTATCTTGCAGTTATTCGTACTTTTTATCACCAGATCCTTGGTTTTCTAAGGCATCGCTTGCTAATTCTTAGAGTGAATGAAGTAAATGACCTTAATGATGTCAAATGAATGCTAGCCTTAATTCTATATAAAATGCATCTTACAGGCATGGTGTGTCTAGAGAATTTGCTTTCAGTGAAAGCAATAAAGTAAATGCTAAAGTGACCAATGTCATACTGTTTTGTAGTTTGTACAGTCAGGAAAAAATTTGCTTTTGTTTTTCAAATTGTTTATTTTTGTAAAAAAAATAAAAGTAAAAGATAAATAAAATTTCTTTTATTCTTGCTTTTTTTTGTGTGCGTTTCAAATAGATGGCTAAATCCACTGAGGACTTGGACATAGCGTATTGTATGTAAATTTAAACCTGGGATATTTTTTTCCAGAAAGGACTTTTTCCAGAAAGCTTCTTCCAGTGACTCCCAGTACAGGGTCTCTTTTTGGGGTAATTGGTGGCTTTGTCTGCGTGGTTGCCTGTCACAAAGTGAGTCATGGTTAGAAGACAATGTTTGAGCAGCCTTTCCTACTCTGTGCTTTGTGCTATGCTGGGACCACTCTTTTAGCATTTGGAAGGGGCAATGATGAGAGCAGAATGTGATGGAATTGCTCGTTGGGCTAAATGGTGTATTTTCTTTAGCCAGGAGGGTCAGGGAAGGAGAGTAGCAGAGCCAGGGCAGCAGTGTGACCGTACGGGAGAGATAGTCCGACAGCGACAGCAGCAAGTCTTGTCTCACCACGGTTTCTCTGAGGTCACTGATGCCCTAATGGCTTCTGGCAATTGGCTGAAATGACATGCTGTAGTGGCTGTAACTCACAAATTATCAAACTCCCAGCCGTAATAGCTCAGCTGATTGTGTCGCCATGCTCTTAGGAACCCATCAATCATACTGTGGTAATAAACAAACACTACAGATTCTTTTTAAATTGCTACATAAATCATGCCAACACATACTGCGCAGTTCATTGAAGTGATATGGGTTGTTGGCACTGAGGTGCTGGTATGTATTTTAAAAGTCTTTAACCTCCTGTGATTTCCTTCCCATTAAGAACTGCACCGTTCCAAAAATACTCAGGACTTAAAAACAATGTGAACACTTAAATTCTTTAGTTGCATTCCTAGGTAAAAAATACCAACATTTAAAAGAAAAAGAAAGTATCCAGGGTAATACTTTAATGTTGTAGTCAGGTAACTTCAAATAATTTAATTCCATCACTTTCTGCATACTGGAAAAAAATGCTTCTTAAGTCAGGAATTGTTTATCCTTAGAAATAAAACAAACTTGCCAAACCAATTTACATCAGCTTTTGCACACAGAGATCAAGTAAGCAAGAAAGAAACATAGCTATGAGCCAAGAGACTGGATTCTAAGTTTTAGCAGTAATCAAATTTATATGGGCAGGTTTATAATTCTGAGAGTAAAGCTTTCCAGTGGAAATGCTGATTAAAATCTTAGTAAGAAAAGTATGATACTACAATAAGGGAATTTAACAGCTGTAATAAGCACTGGTAAAATTCTGAATTTATGTGGAGAAGGTGACTTTGACAGCAGTAGGTCTGATTCAACAAAGTGCTTGACTGGCACTCATAGCATGGAAACCCCAGAGAAGCTACAGAGGAGGAGGAGGAGCAGGAAGCAAGGCACAAAGTGAGTTGGCAGGTCTGGGCCAGTCAACCTGCTTCAGATTTTCTGTGGAAAAGGCATTTATGTCTGGTTTTCCCCCTAAACTTTTGACTGGTTTTTACATTTCCTGGCTTCCTCAAGCCACAAGGTAGAAATATGAAAGAAGACACCCACAGGGCTTTAAACGATTGATGTCTGCATCACGTGTGCACATGCACGTGTGTGTATGTGTATACGTATTTATGTAAGTGTCACACTGAACAGGGAGAGCTTATTTCCTCAGTGAAAAACCAATTGGCTGTGCACAAAATGAAGTGCTAAACAGGATGTTGAGTTCATCTGGAGAGGTGAGAGCTGCGTGAAGCAGTGGGTGCTGCAGCTCTGTGAGGGGCTGTGCTGAGTGTTTGGTCCAGTCCAACAGCACAACGCCCTGGCTGGTCTCTGTGGCTCAGAGCACCTCCAAGAGCTGCCCACTCTCTCCATAATGATTTGGTGAAGGGGTGGCTTTAGCCCTGCCACTGTGAGTGGACTCCAGGCAGTGAAGCAAGCACTGACCAGCATCACCTTTGGCCTGACATCCTGAGGGTTTTAGGGGGGACATGCTTTGGTCTTTGCTTAGATCAAAATAAAAATGTGTTCTTCTATTTTTCTCTATTTTGTCTGAGCCTACTGTTTTATTTCTGGTCATTTTTAAAAGCTTTCTCCCCAACTTCAGTGCATCTTTTTAAGTGGAGGTCTCATTTATTCACTTTTGGGAACAGGTGGTTACGACTCACATCACATCTAGAAGAAATCTGTGGTGAAATTAGTGGTATCACCAAGAGCATTCATCGCCATGAGACAAACCCAGAAAACAAGGGGGTCCTGTTGCCAGCTGAGGAGTTCAGGTAAGTTTGTATAGAGAGTGAAGGGGATTGGATGGGCAGTGAGATACTGGTGAAGAATCTCAGAGAGATGTTCTTCCAACATGACATAAAGGAGTTTAGTGTTAGTACAACTATTCCTAACGTACTTTTCCATGCCACTCACTGCTTCACTAAGGCGTTTTGCTTAGTCCTTCTGCCAGCTGTGACCACCCAGTTTCCCATAAGATTTGTAAAAATGGCAGAGTGGGAAGCAGGGAGGAGTGCAATTCAGCATAAAGGTAGATATTTCTATTGCCAGTTACTGTATGTGGTGTGGTAACCACTGGGGAGCACTGTCCTGGAACAGGATCTGACCATGGTAGGTGCACAGTGAAGACCTTGTCCCTTCCTCTGAAATTTACCTTATCAGTTTGTACCACAGCTCATGATATGTCTGTGTAGCCTTGTGTTCATACCAGGTGAGCAAAGGAGTAGATATGGGGACTAACCAGTCAGTTATAGGCAAGCATCCTGAAAAACATAGGCCCACATGGGCTTTCTCTATTACGGTTCTGGAGAGCAGAGCCCCAGCAGCTCCTCCCAGAGCTGTCCTGCATGGCTGCTCTCCTACCTCCTGCTGTAGCAGACACCCAGGGACATGCAAGAGCCATGCACTACAAGAAAAATTGGAGAGAGACAAAATATGTCCCATTATTTCACTGATGCTGACCCTATTAATGTTTATAAGACCCTGAACCTTCATGCACTGTTGCTATTTAGAGAAAAAAGGGACACTCTTGTTGACAATAATTTAGATTAAGCAAATGATTTAGAGGACTCATAATTCAAAGCGTATGGAAGGTGATAGTGAACATTCAGAGATCATGTTATGTTGCCTGTCAGGAAATAATATATGAATACAATGATGTTCAAACTTTAGTAAGGAGAGCTTTATCTTACTGCAGCCTGCTATAAAAAAAAAAAAAAAAAAGGAAAAATGGAGTGGCAAGACTGTCCACAAGTTTTTTCCGGGAAAACATATCCCTAACCTTTTGGTCAAAATGTGAAATGGTGTTGAAAGAAGTCAAACAGATTGGGGTTGAAAAGACTCATCTGAAGTTTTCATCAATTGACTGCAGAAAAAAATTGGGGCTCGAAGAAGAGGAACATTTGTGAAAAGCAGTCAGTATATAAAGACTTCACAATGATACTCTGCTTAATGTTTTGAGATGTGATCATGGGATCCTTTTTTTTTTCCCTTTTGTCAAGAAAACATAATTTTTTTCTCTCTCTGCATTTTAAGCAGGAGTGAGACACGTTGGGCTGGCTTGGGCTGACTGCCTCTGGAGCTCCCAGGGCCTGTAAAGTCCCTATCCTTCCTTCAGCACAGACATGGGCCTTGGCAATTTAACTCATATGAGTATGTTTCTTGCAAGTAATAACAAGTGATTTTTTTCAGGTTCTAATGGATGCTTTTAAGAGGTACATTTTAAAAATGTGAAGGAAACAAGCCACTGTGTCTCTTCCCTTTGCAGTTCTGTGCAGTTCGCAATTGCCTTTGTGTAATAGGTGCCCTACTTCCCTATGCAAACTGAGGGGAAATATAATTCAGTAGGAGCCACCCTATTATGAAACTGACTTTGATGTCAAGCCAGAGGGCAAACCTACACGTTTATTAGAAATTGTGGCTTTTAAACAAAAAATCCCCACTAACCACAGTTTTTCAGCAGATGACTGTGAGGCTGAGAAGGAAGACTAAACTATCGGGTAGCTACTTGAAATGATAAAGCCAGAATCTGATCTTACTTAGCTTGATTTTAGCAGTGAAATTCAGTTAATCCTTGATTTATGTTCACACAAAATCGAATCAGACTGTTAGATTTTCAAGTATCTATGGAGTGGGAACTCAGTAAAACATACCTCTTGGACCTAAATATTTGAACCATACAAGTGAGGAAAAATATACTGATTTTCCCAATTTTTCCATATACGCATGTGTGTGTGAGCACATGTGTAGGTTCCTGTGAGATTTAAACAATGACAACATGACAACTTATCCTACTTTTAGGTGGAAGCTTTAGCAAGGTGCAGCAAATTAAAGACATGTTATTTAATAGATAATGTCATGAAGGGAATATGAGTTCTACACCTTTACGCTCACCGTTTAGTAGGTGAGCCTTTCTTATTTATCATCTTTCTGCTAACTTCAAGTATGCCCTAAGAACAATTTCCAGTTTTCAATATTACAAGTACCTGGCATGTATGAAGATAATGGTACAAATTGGTGTTTGTGAATTACAGCTTTCTATAAATACACTGGAAGGAATGCAGAGCAGTCAGTCAGACAAACAGATGACCAGGGACACACTGGCACTTTTAGAAGTGAGTGTACTTAATGTTTTATACAAGACCTTGGCTTTGTGCAAGTTCATGACCTATTAAAAACTTCATATGACTTACTAGCAGGTATTGCCTCATTCTTGGTTACAAGCTGTTGATCAGCATTGAGTGCTACTATTTTTAAATGTTTTACCGTCTTGTCCTTTAATTCCCAAGAGTTACAAACCTAAAGCCTGTTTAAAGAATGGACTTCAATTAAATGTCAGGTTTTCATCTGTGCATGTTTCTGATTTCTGTTTCATTACAGAATTTTGGTAAATGGTAGCTCTTAAGCAGAAAGAATATTATAGATAAAGGCATAAAATAATGCACATTTTGTCATTCAGGGAGTGAATTTGCGAACAGACTCTACACTGTCTACCAGGAGAATTGAAAAGTTTAATGACTTAGATTGTGGGTCAAGGTGGCAGATGTGAAAAG